CTGTCAACATTTTATGTGATTTTTTTGTGCACGATTACAATACTTTTTCTATACTCTATATACGAGAAAGTAAAAATGAGCATTAAAGGAAAATGCAACCCAATACAAAATATGTTTAGTTTTTATATATACTTTTAAAAAGTCACATAAAAAATATTAAAGTGGGTAAAATGTTTTAAAATTGGGCAAATTATCATAAAAATGAATATTTATGAAGTTCTTGTAAGTGCGCATATTTGACAGCTTTAATCTTTCTTCTTTTCTTGTACAAATGGTTAGGTACCCGGGATAGGATCTTAATGTTGCAACCCAAGTTTATATTGCCAACTATCTGCTAATTGAGTTTAAAGTAGATAGTAGCATTAGGGTTGTTTTGCAGAGAATGTCGCATTGAATTCTTGAAAGGCCATACTAGTCTGTTGATAGAGATTGGTCAGTTGAGAGAGACTGATCTCTTGTATAATAAGACTGGTCAGTTGAGAGAGGATGGTTTATTGTATGGTAAGGCTAGTCAGTTGAGAGAGGCTGATCTATTATAAGGCAAAACGGGTATGTTGAGAGCGGTTGATCTATTGTATGGTAAGACAAGTCAGTTGAGAGAATATGATGGTCTATTGCATGGTAAGACTGGTCTGTTGAGAGAGGTTGATCTATTTTATGGTGATACTAGTCAGTTCAGATAGGTTGGTCTATTGTGTTGTAGAACTGGTGTGTTAAGAGAGGCTGGTCTGTTGTATGATAAGACTGGTCTATTGTATGGTAACACTGGTCTGTTGAGAGTGAATGATCTATTGCAGGGGTCTCCAAACTACGGCCCGCGGGCCGAATGCGACCCGCGAGGTCCTTTCATCTGGCCCGCGGAGATCTTTTTGTCCACGGAAAAAAACGCATGTTTGTGATGACTGAGGAAGTTTGCACAGAAAAATGATAAACATGCCTGGAAGAAACTGGCCCCCGAACTGATATTTGGTAGTTAATTCGGCCCTCCGACTGAAAAGTTTGGAGACCCTGATCTATTGTATCTTAAGACTGGTCTGTTGAGAGAGGCTGATCTATTGTATAGTAAGACTAGTGTGTTGAGAGAGGCTGGTATGTTGTATGGTAAGTCTGATCTCTTGTATGATAAGACTGGTCAATTGAGAGAGAACAATCTATTCCATAGTAATACGTGGAAGTTGAGAGACGCTTATTTATTGTATAACTAGACTGGTCTTTTGAGAGACGCTTGTTTTTTTTTAGGGAGACTGGTCTGTGGTATGGTAAGACTGGTCTGTTGACAGGGGCTGGTCTGATTAAACTGATCTTTATTTGGTAAGTCAGACGAGAATATTTTTGTGACTACTGAAATAATATAATTGTGTTGCTTGACAGCTTGAGATTTTAAGCTAAGTTAAACCAGCCTTCTCGCTCTGCTACATGTTAGCATCTGTAAATACAATTTCAGATCACGGGATTAAATAATTTCAAGTTTGATCTGAAATGTAAACATGTAATCTTATCACTATAGCATGCTAATAATCGTTTAACATTTAAATTTAAGTTCCAAGTAGTTTATTTTGTCGTTTAACGTGTAGGCCAAAATGTTGTAACTACCATATAAAACATTTCTTAACACGAAGATAAACCCTCAATCTAAAGTTACAAATGAGAAAAAAAATAATTATATGTAAAGCGCAATTTTGTGGAAATACGATTCGATAGTATTTTTTTTAAAATGAGATCTAAATCTAGACTAGATTTTGAATTTAGACCTAGTTTCAAAGTCTCATAAAAATGTAAACAAAACAGTTTGGCTCTCGAAAATCTAACTGGAAATAAGGTATATTAAAAATACTCTTTATTTATTATTCATTCAAATGATAAATGTAAAAAAATAGCTAACAAAAACGAATCTAATATCCTTACATATAAATACTTTGATTACTGTGGTGTAAAAATGTGTGAATGCACCGAGCGACTGCGTTGCTGATTAAATGTATACAGCGGAAATCGCGCTTTGGTATTGCGCCAATATTTTTAGCGCTATAATCAATAGCCGGTTTGTTCAAATGATTATATATATATATATATATATATATATATATATATATATATATATATATATATATATATATATATATATAGTTATATACATAGTTATATATATAGTTATATTATAATATATTTTGAAAAATTTGAACATCCTCCTCCCAATGTAAAATTCCTAGCTAGGCCATTGTTTTAACGAACTAAATGGACGCTCAATGCAATATAATTGATAGACTATCTTTTGTTTAAATTCAAATTATAGTATACTCGATACGTATTATTACGCATGTGAGAAACACTGCGGTTTCTGTTTCTTAGAGAAAATTCTCAAATACTGTAACAGTGATTTTTTGAGTAATTTTGTTTCAAATTTATTTTTAAACAAAACAAATATCATCGCATATAAACAAAAATGTGCAATGCACACAATTAATTAACACTAATATAAATATTTATAATATAAAAGACTCACCGATCGTCAAACGTTCAATCTTTTTGTAAAACGGCCACGAACATCAGAAATGGGCCACGCTGTAATATTTGTAAAGGTCTTTGTAATCCATTAGCCAATCAGAAGACTGAATGGAAATATTAATGCGTACAATAAAAAAACATAGGTGGCGCCACATTAAAATGTTTGTTTATACAAATGAATTAAGCTTAATATAATTAAGTATTTTAGAACAAAAATAAAAAAAATTAATACAATAATATTCGGATATGGACAAACATTAGGTAAATTAATCGCCAATTTTAAAACCCCATAAAAAGCGGGTGGGACATCCCCTGAAGTTTCTCGAATATTCAAATAAAACACTACGGGGATGCAATTCGGAATATAGACATGATTTTTTATAAGATTTTACATACTTAAACCTTTTTAAAATAGGATCTCTTTGAAAAAAGAATTGCGCACCAAGTTAACTGCGAACAATATGTGTATAACAGTATAAAATACTAGTACTTTACACTTTCATATGAGAATTAGATCTTTTACTAAAATTTCAAATTTCGTTTATCTATGCTATACGTTATTCAAGTTTTAGGCTTTTAAAAAAACAAAAGGAGAATAAGTTCCTCTTCCGGTCACCGGAATTCGTTTACAAGTTAATAGAAAACTACAAATTTGATATGAAGTTATCGTCTTCTCAGAGTTGCACACACACAGACATACGGACAAAATTAGATGTTTTTCTGACTCAGGGAGTTGTAAAACGTCGAGATTTTTTTATACTTCGTATACGAGAAAGTAAAAATTATAAACACGCCTATGTTAACCAGTAAAGATTAATCATGTATTGATGTATGTACAACCGACTAAGCGTTCACCTCTATAATCCTTCGGTCGCAATGTCTTGTCGTTTAATATTGATCTCTCGATAAGGTTTATATCATACATTTTTATATCTACCCAGCTAAGCTGCTTCATCTATCACTGTGTAGGATCCACGCTCCAATGTTGAATACACTTAGTCCAATAGCAATCTGAATAACTAAAAATCTAGATTACGTTTTAAGATTTTAATTGTAGAACCTTGTTTAAGTGAACAATTTATATGCAATGGTTGCCTTTTCCTAAAATAGAACATAGAATCATAATTTGGGGGGGGGGGGGGGTGTAGCCGTCTCGGTCGACGATCCTGGGGGAACGCCAAAAGGGGTAGAAAATTAAGCTGCATTTTGGAATTATAAACAGTTAAAGTTAGGAAATTTAACGGCTACACGCATTTACATACTGATGTAACTGTTTTCTACCTTAATTGTGTAACTGTAAAGCATACACTTTTAAGAAACACTGACCGGCACAATCCGCTTTCTAGTTTTTCCTCGAGAGGGGTGGGGTGGGGGCGCTTTTCCTCCAACTAAAATCGCAGAAGTTTACACTAGATTGATGAGTAGATAACACTGAGAAAAAACAAACAGCTGTACTAAAATGTATTGCACGATTGTGTAACATTAAAATAGAGTTTGCGAAGTTAAAACTTGCTCCACCAATTTTGTTTGAAATGGTAGAAGGGGGGGGGGGGGGTGGCGCTTTTTCGCCAACAAAAGTTTTTATGACTTGTAATGGAAATGTGAGTAGATAACTCTTTTAACACTTAGAAAAGAAGCCGGCAGTATTAAAACGTATTATGTAAAAGTAGAAAAATAAAATGGTTGTTAGTGGGGCTCTTTATCGACCAATTAATTAGAATTGGATTTACACTGGAAAGGTGTGTAGATCAATCTTTAAGCACTTAAACTAAAAACACATCATTAATGCTTAATGTTCGATTTTACTAGCCAGTTTTGTTAAGAAATGACTCGACTAGTTTTTTTTTTCGATTCTCACGATTATCTTAAATTTACCGTGCGAGTTCAGATACTTTTACTTGATTGCATTACATCTTACGTGGATCACTGTATTAAAGATAATTAAATATCACGAATTCTTGTATCGCTACCCGATCAGTAAAATAACATACGGTTGGAGCGATTGAGTGGCAAAAGGCAAAACCTTTTGCCGAAATTTTAAAAGCTAAGAAAATTAGTATATTGTACCGTCATTTTGTCGTTTGTTTCGGCTGAACATTACTGATGGTCCTACCCTCATTCACGTTATATATATATATATATATATATTTACATATAAATGTAAGGATATATATTTTTAGATATTTTTAGATATGGATGTATATAACATTTCTACGTTGATGTATACCTTGTCTAACATCTTTTTCTTCTTCTTCTTCGTTCTTAATTATGAGTGTTGAAGGGGATCGAGATTTATCTGCCAGTGGGTTTGATCTCGAGACTTTGTTCGAATTTATCAACCATGAGCTTTTTTTGCCGACTCGACCACACCTCCAACACAATTAAGCGTTACGTGTCAACTGGTTATGCGCCATTGAGGCTATTGACTCCGATTTCAGCCTGCTTTTCTTTTTAACACGTTTTTATTAACTCAGCTTCGCGTGGATGTGTTTGTTGTTAAAATTGACATCGAAAATTAGCCCACTTCTGATTGTTCTATAGTTCTGAAATTTGGCATGCAGGTTACTTTCGCCTAACAATTTCAGATGCAATCATAAAAACTAGCAATTAGAGACCGTAATTAGCTTAATTTAATTACGCCCCAAGGACCATAAAATTGAGGACATGATTTCTAAAGATACCGACAAGACTGGAGGCCTATAGACACAGTTACTTCGGCCCCAATCGATGTGAGCGCGCTGGCCGTGATCGTATAGTGGTTAGTACTTCGCGTTGTGGCCGCGACAACCCAGGTTCGAATCCTGGTCGCTCAAGATTTTTTTAGTCCGTGTATTTATAAACACTTTTTTAAAAACCACGTTTTTCATGTGTAGCAACGGACTAAAAAGGAGAAAATAAAATACTTAAAAAAAAACTTTTTAAAAAACCACGTTTTTCTTGTGGACTAAAAAGTAAAAAATAACTATTTACATACATTTGATGACAAAAAACGTGGGTCGGGCAGATGGGTCGGGAAATTTGATGGTGAACGTACCCACGTTTTTTGTCATCAAATGTATGTAAATAGTTATTTTCTACTTTTTAGTCCACAAGAAAAACGTGGTTTTTTAAAAAAGTTTTTTTTTAAGTATTTTATTAGATTTGCTTCCATAGCCTTTATCCATCCAAGAACAAACTACAAGGCAGCAGTTGTTTAATTTTGGTGTTGTCTCTCCTAGAAGAGTGGCTGTCCCCACGCCGACCCCTTGTCTAACATTTAAATGACTTTCTACCAGCCTTTGAAATACACATGCAATCGGAATTTCAATAAGAGGCATAGAGCCATTAATAAAACATTAAAACCAAAATCGACCCGGCAATACTGTACATAATCTCTAAACGATTCTCAAAAAGTGTCTCGTGGTCCGAAAATTGACCAATGTAAGCTTGTTCTCCATCATACAAAATTGAATTCTGCTGACTATAATTTATATTTTAGGAGATAACTGTTGCATGTTTTTAAGATCCTAAAAAAAAAATAAAGCGGGAGTGATCTCCGCTAAATATTCTCGAATATCTAAAACATAAGCGTGCGTCAGTTCGTCATCATTATAGATTTTGGAAACATAAAAATAAACACATCACATTAGTGCTTTTTACTTGCATCGCCGTGTCTTATTATAAGTAATAGAGTAGGGTTTGTTTATATAACGACTTAAATTTATTTTATAGTTGCCACTGTTTTTACTCTTTTGCATAGCGTAAAAATATATTAAATACATGCAAATTGCTAATACATATTAAACGGATGAACGTCAAATGTCTAAAAGCGTGTGCTAAAGATAACCTCCGGGAAAACCATGCTAATGAAAATAAAAGCCAAAAGTGCTCTCAAGACCTTTGCGAATGGAGCAGATCAAGAATAGGTCGAAGACTTTAAATACCTCGGCAGCTATATATCAGCAAATGGCAGCATGGAGAAAGAAATAGCCACCAGAATAGCAATGGCAGCACAAGCTTTCAAACAAGCTTTCAACAGACTTGCTAAGATCTGGAAATCATCCTCACTGCAGCAGAGAACTAAAATAAAGATCTACAAGTCTAATTTACGATCTGTACTCCTCTATGCTGCAGAGCCATGGGCACTAAACAAGAAAGGAGAGAGCCGTCTCGGAGGCTTTGAAACAAGATCCCTCCAACGTTTCCTCAGAATAAAGTGGAACGACAAAGTCCCGAAAAAGGAAATATGGCGAAGGACAGGATTAAACTACATTGTTTCAGAAGTTCGAATGAGCAGATTGAGATGGCTGGGCCATGTTTTACGCATGAGCAAAAGAAGACTCCCTAACATGGCGCTGAAGTGGAACCCGCCTCTAAACCGAAAGAGAGGAAGACCACTGGAAACATGGAGCAGAGAGATGGAAGAAGAAGTGCAGGCTACTGGAAGACCTTGCATGAACTAAAGTGGCTCGCCCAAGACAGAATGGAATGGCGGAGATTTGTTGCTGCCCTATACTCCACAGGGAATGATGAGGATTAACTAAGTAAGTAAGTAATCACCTGCAATGTTTTGAATTAATAGTTTTATATTAAATACAATTTCTATCTGATCCTATTACCAGAGGCAAAGCTAGAGGAGGGTATGCGCGGCGACACACATAGGCCAGTCGTGGTAGATGATAAGTAAATATGCTCATAACTGGGGGTTACAGCGGTAGAAAAAAACATAGACTGTTAGTTAATATTTTCTATATCAAAATATCAGTTACCAAAACAAAAAGACAAAGTGACTGGTAAAAACCACCTTTATCTTTCAAAATGAGGGAAGTAGGGGCGCATTTTCTTCAACGCGAATAAATATAAACGGGCCTAATTTGGGAAGTGAGCGCAAAATCGATCGATCGCCCTGGGCGCCGAACCAGATAGCTACGCGTTTTGTATGACACTTTCATCATTGATTTAATATAATCAGAGTCATTAATTAAAAGGTATCCTAATATATAAAAGCCCATGTGCACGATTCTCTCTCTCTCTCTGTCTGCAAA